TATTTGACCATAAATATCCCTTCACTTATTTTCCTTTAATTTGTTTTAATTTGATTTTGGTTTTTATTTATAGATTCTGTATTATTCAAATTGTCCTAAAATTCATGAGCTAAGAAAACAATCCTATCAAGATCGTAAATACCAGGATATGGAACTTAAATACAAGGTAAATAAATTAAAAAATATAATTTTAAACCCAAACTTATTGTTTGTTATTTAAGATTTTTAAAAAAGAGCTCTATTTCTAATATGCTGGGAGAATATTCAGTAATTATTGTGTTTCCTTGGAAAATAYAGATCTTGGAAAAGYTTGCCTCAGACATGGCCTAAATTTAAAAATTCTTGTCTTTGTTGCAATTTCCATGTCTCTGAGTTTCTTGGCATTTCTGAGAGAAATTCACATTTTGTAACTCTTTTCTATGAAGACATGTTTGTGTTGAGTAAAAAGTGTATTAACTTTGTTACAACTGTAGGACCTTGTGAAAAGACTTGATCCACTTTTGGGATACAATGGCTCCTTGACATTTGGYAAATTAGGCGGTATCCATGACAACTTTTTGTGTTCTGTAAGTATCTTTTATACAGCTTGGGTTTACATGGGTTGTAAGGTTCAATATGCAAAATTAATATAAAATTACTCTAATACACCTTAGTAAGCTGTATTATAATAACTATTAATAATTGTATATAGAGGATATAGATGGGGCACGCAGATATGTGGATTTTAAAGTGCTACTTGCATGAAAATGGTCTTATTTCAAAACTTCAAGCAATACAAATATATGACTTATTTTTATCTATCAAAAGCAATTGCGGGAAAATATTTGTTTTGGAGTTATCCCACATAAGAGTCAGAGAAATTTTGATTCAAAAGATGGAAGAACAGAAGGATGGAGTAGATGACGTCATCTACTCCAACATTTTTTGCCCAAAATATTAAGGATTTGTATCAATATCTTGTTGAAATCTGTTGCTTCATGATTATTAGACCCATATGGATAGGTCTATTTGATTTCCAAGTCTTTTCTAATGTTTTGCAATTTTCGTCCAAGTAGCCCTTTAAAAGAAAATTTTGAAAAGGTCTCTCATTAGTGAGCGTAAAGTGAATATAATTGTAATATGAAAGCAAAATTYGTTTTAGAATAACTGTTATTTACCTCCAATATAGTTCACTAATGAAAATGTTTTTTTAACAACTTTAGTAATAGAGAAATATAGATATTTTATAGTCTGATAATTTATATATTATGATAATAAAATCTATTAACTTAAGTTTATATCTCAATGATTAGTGTTAYGATGAATTATTTTCCACAGCTCTCYCATAACTTTTCTCTTCCTGYCTGGGCAAATACMAGCATCTTGAATACTTTGAAAAAAATAGCTGATTTTCAAATGGGCTGGAGTTTTCACACTGAAGACATATCAAGGCTTTCTAGTGGTTAGTAAAATTATTGTTCATAGAAATGATTATAATATAACTTTTTATTTGATACAGTAGAATTGCTTGTTTACCATGACAGGGAGCTTGAAGTACCTTTTCTTGCATATTTGAAAAAAATGGGATTTCAGTAAAATTATGTCATTTTTTGACAAAGTTCTAAGAAACCTCCCTAATAATTTTAGAAAAAATGTCATTTTTCAGGGGTTATATAGGTTATATAGGTGCACTTTAATGATAATTTAGAGTTTGCTAATTAAATTTGTCACTGCTTTCTTTCTCTCTCCTTCCATCTTTTTTTTTCCTAGTGTCTCATTCTTCTATTATTTCTTTGCTTCTCCTTCCCTCACTTTCCTTAATTTATTTCATTATATTAGCCTTCCCACTTCTCATTCTGTATTCCTAAATATTTTCTTCTTTGTTCCTTTAATTTAATTTTTCATTAGATTATCACTTATGCCCTGATAAATCACGTGATTTGCAATGCATCATGGGGTCAGTTCCTGGAGAAAATAAAGCAAGTCTGTCATTTTCTTGCCCCAAACATATCCCACAACTCATTGTGTATATGGTATATAAACGAAAAAGCTTCAGAGGTCTAATTGTCAAATCTTGCCTTTTTTTTATTAATAGGGCCGTTGCTTGGAGAAATGATTGAGCACATGAAAAGCTACAAAAAAGCCAAAGCCAAAGATAGCATCAATAAAGCCTAYCTTTACTCTGCTGTAAGCTATATGAATATTGTAATCAAAATGATGGATAGGCAGGGTTTAGGGTAATATAATGGAAACTAGTTGTGGTAACTACTACTAAGAAGAGTAAGAGAAGACAAGAATGAGATTGGTATTTATAAAAAAAACAGTTGATGTGCAATAAGATAAATTTTAACACTATAAAAAATAGTGAAATGACTTATTGTCGTTTTGACATTCCTTTTTTGGAGTAGGGTTTAATTGGGATAATGTAGGTGGGTGGGAGAGGTGTATTGAGGGGGAGGTTAATGAAGGGGGGAGGTGCATTGAGGGGGTTCTTTGGAGGATTGTCTATTGTGGTAATGAAGGATAATGCAGGGAGGAGTGCCATCAGAGAGAGAGTGATTTATATAGAAACTTTTTGTGATAATGGAGTAGTAAAAGGAAGTGCCTTTAAGAAGAATGATTTCTTGTTATGATCATGAAGGGGGTGTCTTTTTTGCTCTGTTAAAAGAGAGAATGATTCATTACTGTAAGCAAGTTATAATGAAGGGGGTTGCCTCACATAGTTTCTTTACCGTCAATGGAAATGTTTAATGGCTTAGATGTAAGAAAATCTCCAAGTTGTCTAATTAAATAATTCAAGACTGAACAAAATCATGTCAGCTTACAACTTGTTATCTGAATGTTGTAAAATGATATTTTCTTTTCAGCACGATACAACAGTGACGGGTCTTCTAAGTGTCCTGGGCTTGTTTGATGGGCATTCTCCTCCATATTCTTCAGCAGTATTGGTTGAGCTGTATTCATCAGATACTCCTGGGTA